TTCGTGCCCCTTGTGTTGTTTTGGTAGAAGAGGAGGTATCGTACGGTTTTGTTGCTGTACTCCATTGTTGGGTGGCATTTGAAATTACAAAATCTTTTCATTTGTTATATCTTTTCTTTTATTTCAATTTTTTTGGGCATATTTTTGTTGGGTATGATAAGGTTTTCCCCATCATTTCGAGGGATGCGTTCCTCTGTCTTGTTGTTGTGTTGGGTAGGTTCTGTGGTGGAGGTACCTATCCTGTCCTTTTGCTGATCTCCTCATCCTGCTGTTTTAAGGCTGTTACCAGATACACGTTTTGCAAGCTTTGTGAAGTTTAAGTATTTTACGTGTAATGTGTGTCCCGTTGCCTACTTAATTTGGAGTTTCCCTAACTTGTCAAGCATATGTTAGTCACATACGTTTCAGAAGTTGTGTGGTTGCATTTTTGTATATGTACTTTTCAGGTTTGATTATTGGTACTTGGCGTACAGAATGGGTTCGAAAAGTTCGTTTAATTGTTAAGTCTTTTTGTGACCTTTTGTGATTTTTGTGGCCTTGGGTAGGTATTTCTATTTTTAGTTTGTAAACATTCCAGTAGTTTCCTTTATGGGCCATATAGTGGTTATCGTTCGAAAGTGGGCTTCCGTACCGCCAGAGGAAAGCCCAATGTGTGTTAACAGGGTGAGCATTGGTTATCAACCTTTTGCCCATACGCTTGTCCGGAGGGGTAAGGGGTTTTATGGGGGTAGGAAGCTCTACCTACCCCCATAGGTAGAGCTTCCTACCCTCTTGAATTGATTTGCTGATTTTCTTCTTAAGTGTTGTAGCCAGGTGGGTAGATGGTTCTATTGGGGTTCCCTTATGTGGCCATTCAGTTCCTTGGTAGTGGTCCTTATTTCATGTTAAGCCGTTTTGTGTACGTATTTATTCTGTTAGTCCTATTATGTGTCGCTACTGATAGGATTAGTTGTTTGTGGTTAGTAGTCGTGCTAATAGTGTAGGATTTGTAAATTCCTAATTTTGTTATTATTATTATTATTATTATTATTATTATTATTATTATTATTATTATTATTATTATTATTATTTTGTATGTCTGGTTGATAGGTTTGTGTGTGTTTGTGTGTATTTTGTTTATTTATTTTAATGTCGTTTTAGTGTGTTGGTATATATATATATATATATATATATATATATATATATATATATATATATATATATATATATATATATTTGTGTGTGTGTGTGTATGTGTTGTTGTTTTGGTTATATATATATTCCTGCTGAATACTCAGGGGCCTTTACCCATATCAGTAATGTTTTTTTTTTTATGGATTTTTTTGGTTATTACCTATTTCAGGGATGGATGTTTGATTGGTAGGTTTGTGTGTGTTTGTGTGCATTTGTGGTTATTATTATTATTATTATTATTATTATTATTATTATTATTATTATTATTATTATTATTATCATCATGTAATGTGTTTGTATGTATATATATATATATATATATATATATATATATATATATATATATATATATATATATATATATATATATATATATATATATATATATATATATATAATCCTGCTGAATACTCAGGGACCTCTACCCATCTCGGGAATGTTTTTTTTTCCTATATATTTTTAAGTTTTCCAATGTCTGCGAGGTATTCTATGACGTTTTTGTGTGTAATTTCTATGTTCGGGCTTTTGGTGGGGTTAAGCAGATCTGGGAAGGAGGTGGGTGCACTTATACGTCGTTGGATTCGTTGTAGTTCAGTGCGTTTTGCGAAGTAAGTGGGGCAGTGGTTGAAGATATGTTCTAATATTTCTTGTTCTGGGCAGTAGGGGCAGTTTATGCTTTGTAGTTGTCGATTTTTTTAGGTATTTCCGAAACTATTTTGGAGAAGTGTTTTTTTTTCGGTCCGCAGTCTGTTGAAGATACGGTTATGATTACCGCTGGGCAAGGTGGTGAAATTAGGGCGGCGGTCAGTTTTGGGATGGATATCGTGTCGTTGTGAGTTTCCTGTGTTTGATCCCCATTGTAGTTGCCATTGGTTGTTTGTGTCGTTTTTGATGAAGGAATATATTTCCTGGATTCAATAGCCAATGTTGGTCGTGTTGTTTAGTAGTAAATCTTATTTGGCTGCTTTGTCAGCTGCGTCATTACCTTGTAATTGAATGTGTGACGTTGCCCATAGGAATTCCACTGTCTTTCCTTGTGCGTGGGTTTGTCTTCTTTAAGGTTGTTACGGGTTGTGGTTTTAGTTGAGCTTAGTGCTTGCAGGGCACTCAGGGAGTAAAATATTACTACTAAGAAGTGTCGGTTTGTTTGGGTTTGGATCCAATGGATGGTTTGGTATATGGCCCATAGTTCAGCGGAGTACATTGAGCAGCCGTCTGGTAGTTTAGCAATTGTTTTGTGGAATAGGGATGGGAGGACCACTGCCGTTCCTGTGGTGTTTGTGTTTGTTTGAAGCCATCGGTGTATATATGCGTGTGTTGTTTATATTGGTTCTCGTGTACTTGTATGCTGGAGAGTAGTTTCCAGGGGTTTGTGCATTTGTTTCCTAATAGCCTGAGTTCCATGTTTATTTTTGGAAAGTGGTTTCTCCATGGTGTTGGGTCTTTGAGTTGATTTTGCTCGGCTTTAAGGAGTAGTTGTGGCTGGTTAGTTAGTGTTTGGTGGATTTTGTGGAAGGCGGGTGGCTGGTTAACCCTTTTTGATGGAATTTGATGTTGCATTTTGCAAGTGTCTGCTTTACAGGGTTATTATCGGGGAGGGTAAAGACCCTAGTTGCATATTTGAGTTGGAGTTCTGTTCTTCGCAAATGGAGCGGCAGTTCTCCCGTTAATATCTGTTAATGCCGCTGTTCTGTTTTTATGTTGTTTCCTTAGTTTCTTTGAGGCTAGGAGGCGTGTTATCCTGGGTGCTTTGGGTGTTGTGGTTGTTGTTGTTGTGTAGTTGCGTTATTCGGTGCTGTTTGTGGTTTGGGCCGCTTCGATTTTGGTTTGGAAGTGAGATAGTGGGCGTTTGATCGACAGCTCTAGCCCCCAGTCAGCAACGCCGACGGTTAAATAATAAAAGATACAAAAAGGGTGAAATTTAATAATAGCAATTTATTAAACAAATAAATAGTCAATCATTCGAATTTCCCAAATACGGTTCTTCCGCTCGATCCTTTTCTAGCCTATCGTATCATTTGATTTGTTGTGTGAGATCTTTCCACTTGTCTTTGTGTTTTACTCAGATGTATATTTCTCTAGCTCCTGATTCCTCATCGTCCTCCCTGACTCCGAATTCCTTTTCCTCCTCCAGACACTTTGATAATATTTATGACGGCGATGTCCTCCACACAATCTGTCCAGGTATACTGACGAATTTTTGAAAGTGGTCAACTAATATTTACAAATTTAATATTTACAACCTCTATCTGAATTCCGATTCACTGAACTGTTGATATTTATCGTTCGTCTGTCTACTCAGCGGGTAGAACACGCCCCGTTTACCCGGAGGGGGGGTCTTTTGATCTTCAACGCAATGTATAACACGTGGGTGAGAGGTACAGCTTTTGACCCGATGGTTGAGTTTCTGGCGACTTTCGAGTTTCTGGCGAGTTTCTAATCGAATGACACTGGCCTGCAGCGATGCTTCACTTCAAACGCAGTGGAAATACCCCAATGTTTACACTCTCTGGATACCTTGGACTGAATAAACGTGACACAGCTTGTGCTCGCTTCATGATACATACTGGCGTTTGTGCCCAGGTTGCAATTCTTTTATTTACTTTCTCTTTAAGATTTAGTATAGATTTTGTTCTTTCTAATTCTTCATTCTTCCTAAACTAAATACCTAAGGCATTAACCATATCTTTTACTAGGCGAGAGGGAGCCCAGGGTAGTTTCCTCTCCAGTTTCATATTTTTACAATTTCTGTTTTGTCATGGTCAATTTTCGATCCAGAGGCTTTCTTTATAAAGGTGTTTAAAAGAATTCGGGTCTCATAAATTGTGTGTAATCATCAGCATGTTGGAGCATTTTAAATTCTTCTCTCAAATTTGGGATCCTAATTCCTTCTATAAGTTTGTTACTCCTTATTATTATACTTAGTATTTCAATTGTTATTACGAATAATAGCATCGACTGAGGGCACGTGTGACTTCTGTATTCCAAATTTTTCAGTGCTATTTGTATTCGTCTTTAAGAATTCAGCTATATCTCTGTACAGGATTTAAGTCCATTTTCGGAAATGTTCACCGAAACCAATTTTTAAAGTATTTTTTGTATATAGTTATGCTCAGTTCTGTCAAAAAAATTTTCTTGATCCAGAAGTAGGCATACAATGGCACCTCTTTGCCAAGATTCTTTAATAAATTCTATTATAAAAAAGATAACGATTAACTACATTAACTCTGTTTTACTTAATAGGGGTCAACAGTAAAGTTCTAGCAATGTCCTTTCTCATCAAATATTTTTTTCTGTAATGATTTTGAAGTACTTTGCAGCTTTTCTTTAGTTTGTATTGTCATTGTTTATATGCCCAGGTCTTTCACTAACAGCCAATCAAAAGTCACCTGGCTCACATATTTTCTCATGCAAACTCAACCACAAAAGTTTCATGCAAAAGAAAAAAGTAATAAAATTATCTTACACAATGACTTGCCGGGTTGTTGGGGTGAGATAGGGAAAACCGCTTGATATACCGTAAAACTTTTTGTCTACAATAAAAAGAAAGAAAACTTAACAATTGTTACCAAATGAACTTGACAAGTTAATTATTTCAAATTATATGAGAACTACATATGCATAGATCTAACCACATATCATGCCTATCCTATTTTATCTAGTATAGTCTTAGAAAATATGTTGTACAAACGACTTTTCTAGTACATGGAATTACTATACATTTGGACATTGGCACTAACCCTAGTAAATTATTTAATTAATACTATTAGTTACACTTATAGTAGAAGCTTATCCCATTATTTATTAGTGTTAATAACAATTATAGAGCTTTGGTGGCTCAGTGGTTAGCGTGCTAGATTGAAGATCGAAAGGGTGTGGGTTCAAATCCTACCATTGTGTCCTAGGGTAAGGCACTTAACTCCAGTTGCCTTGTCACATAATAACATTGGTGTTGCTGTGCTGAAAGCACCAAGCCAAACAAATCAGATTCACGGCACTAATTGTATGGCAAAATGAGAACCAGTCTGGAAATAGGTGAAGATACATTATCGATTTGGCTGGCAGGGATTGGTTGATAATGATAGAAATATTTTTAAAAATCTTTTGAGAGCTAACCCTAGTTGTAACTGAAAAAATAGAGACATTGTTTTATTGATGGAATTTCAGTCCTTCAACAGACTTAAATTTGGAACACTCATTATTGAAAATTGCACTGCTTGGCGCAGAATTGAAAGAACATGTTTCAAACACACTTAGGTCCAGAAAATTACACATTTACGTTTTCTTTGCATCGAAGCTGTCATCCAGGATACTCATAAATATAGGCTGAGTCTTGAGCATTAATAAATTTAAATCTATTGAATTTTTAAAATTATAGTGTTTGCATAAGTTTAATATAGAATCCAATAAAACTGACCAATACGGACACAGCATAGACAGATTATAAACAGTGTATAAGGGACATTATTCTTGCAGTCACAGTGTTAAAGGAGTTGTCTCGCTTACTGTAACTATAAAATTCCCAACATTACAATCGATTGGTTGGAGGAGCATTCCTCGACAACCATTCAGAAATGAGGATTGACCGAGAATTGATAAAGAAACCTCAAATGCAATTCATCCCCTAAAGTACTATATTCTGAACCACTTTCCAAACATGGAACAATATTGCGGGGGGTAGGGAAGGAGGACGTATATATGGTTGACCTTTGCACTCATAATGTTATGAGCTCCGCTGCAGGCAAATCACAAAACATTGATTTTTATTGCTACATGTATGACATGACCGAAATCACCGATAGATGTTATAATCACATGAAACTATTGTTTTCATTCGTAACTTCCGGTCCATCCTACGGTTCTTCACAGTGGTTCGTATCGTTGCTTACAATTTAAGTATTAGTCATAGTAATACATGGAAAGACGCTTCTCTCCTAGCATGTGCAACGCTGATATTTCAAGTTACATTTCGTGTAAATTTGTTATCATACTTTTAATGAATGCCAGACCACATTCCCATGTTAACCTCTACGTGGCCAATGATCGCGCTCGCCTAATAGTATCACGGTACCAATTGTTTTTCCATAGACCGTAATGCTCATGTTTTGCAAAATAAATATACTTTCTATCCAACTTCAGCATGCATGTCACACACTGTCACAGAGAACAATGTTAGAATGTCAATTTGATAACAACGAAAACAGGTACTCTATTGCACTTAAGAAAGATAACTCTGCTAGAACTAGGCAGGGGTAAGAGTTATCTAGTTACACCAGACACATTTTCAGTCACGTGTACCACATTTTAAAAAAAAATCTTAAAAAATACAAAATGTGATCTAGATATGAATTAACATAATCTCACATGTTGCCAAGAGACTCAACTTTTTTAAAAGCCTAACAGAAAGTACAACTCTTATGTAATGCACCAATCACAGCTAGTTTTGTATTTCTGAATGCAATGTTCTCTACACATTAAGCTCCACCTACCTGGGCTTGTACAATTAGTACCATTATACCTAATATACAAGTGCAACTCACTGAATGGAATTCTGGCCTATTATTGGCAAAAAAGAGATGACATACTGCACTATTTATAATACCTTTTAAGAGAAAGCAGAATTCCATTTAGCACATTAAAACTTACTGCTGGCACTTCTCTTTCTGCAGATCCAATTTCAGCTTCAACACAGATTGATTTTTGGAGGCTGGGTCTGTTTCTGATACTGTCGTTGATAAAAATCAATGGAGGAGGTTCCTGATACAGATTAATCAATCCTTGTTAGATTACGATACGATATATAGATGATTTATTTATGGATCTGGATCATTGTTGTACTTGTCAGTAAATAGTGGCTATGTGAGGATCAGTTGTATAAAACGAAAGAAATTTGAAATATACCATTGACTACAAATAGTAGGACCAGTTTAGTTATGGATATGACCAGTAGTATTTTCAGGTTACAGGTCTTACAGATTTTTTTTGGTCAAGTTTCACACACTATTAAAACATATTAACAGCGCAATCCCTATTAAAATGGGATAACATCATTCAATAGGTGCAGTTAGCCATAAATATATCAAAATTTTGGCTGTACCAATTGAAAACATATTGACTATCTTTTACAATGCAAAAACATCGCCTTAAGGCAGTTTGTCCAGTAATATATATATATATATATATATATATATATATATATGTGTGTGTGTGTGTGTGCGTGTGTCTGTGTTCTTGCCCTCGAATTTAGCACTTATTCCAAACAAATGAATGACTATTTCAATGAAATAATTAGGATAAAATATTAACAAAGCAAGAAGTTATCCCATTTAGTTCAGCATTACCAGACAAGCATAAGCAGCCAGGGGCAACTGTGATGTATTTGCGCAGGTATTAAACTAAAGACAAGGGTTCTTGACCGTCACCTGTTGTAGTTTGTTATTTGATCTGATAATAATTATGTATTATGCATTCAGAAAAAGTTATGTTTCTTCATATTTACTTGATCATTGATACATGTGACTGCCTTCATCACTGCTGACATACTATGTTCTCAGAAAATAGTTACGTATTCACATGCCCGTGGACACAGATCATATGTGCTGACGTGTTATGTACTACATTACTGTAGTCAAAGATCAGCTAATAAACATTCCAGATCTAATATTTTTTACACCCAAATAAAACATTTTTTATATTTTTGTTTCCACTTTTTATTTCATTTTTCTATATTTCAGTTATTTTTTCTTCACATTTTTCATTTTTCTTTACATGTTTTATATTTTTCACAATATCACCATTTTCCTTTCTTTTTTTCTGGTTCTTTTTTACCTTTACTTTCCAGTTTATCCATCACCTTTTGTCTTCATTATTTTGTTTTTATTTTTGTTTTCTGGCACATGTCACTTTTTCTGTATCCTCTCTTTTTCTATATGATGTCTTTCCAGAACAAAACCTTTTTTTTTTTTCTTCTGAAACCCAAAATGCAGAACTTGTGGAAAGCATAACACAAAGTGCCAATACATACTTAAATTCATGCACCAATATGAAACAAAAATGTATTTTGTTTTTCAATTAGGAAATCACAGAGGTGTATCTTTAAAAGAATATATATCACAAAAGGTTTTGATTCATTTAAATAAATGAAAATGATAACTGATTTTAAGGAGGCAACACAAGTTTCAATGACATTGATCCATATTGATGAATATCATCATTTTAAAAAGCTCAGACAATTTGGTTCTGTAAAGTTCAGTTAAATGCAACATTTTGACGCAGCAAATGTCAGAGCACGTACAAAAAAAACCTAAATGAAATGTGGTTGTTTTTATTGTCTATGACAATGTATAATGTTCTGTGTTGATTTGGTTTTATAAGTATGATTTTACTTCCTAAGTCAAAATAAATAATGTACAGAATTAATAATTTATGTTCATAGTTGATGATTTTACAACTTTTCATGAGTTGATAATTTAACAACTGAATATGATTTTTTCAAGTATTTTTCAAAGCGACAAGTAAAATTGCAAGACTAGTATATGAAAAAAGCCCACTCACTTCCCAAATACAAATTTAAGTGGAAACTACTATCCTAAAACTGAATATCATGGTAGATTTAGTACAATTTAGATTGTTTCCAAAAGAGGTCCAGACAAAACAATGTATGAATTACTTGGTAAGGTGACAAGTAGCTCCTGACAATTAGTACAATACACAATGTGTAGGTTCTTCTTTTGTGGTGGAGTCAAATAAAATAGCTTTTAAAAATTATGTACATCCAAAAGAGTACCAATTTTAACCCTACATTTAATGGTGATTTTTCTTACAAGAAGCGTCTGAGACTGCAAAGCTGAACGATACAGCCTGTGCATGTTAGAAAAGAAAAAAAAAATGTCCATTAGAACCCAATGTTTTGCAAAATAAGGCGGTACAAGTTCCTGTAGAAAAAGGTCTGGACTGTTGAATCAACACACAGGTGAAACAGAAAATGTAAATAGACAATTACCATGAAAAGGTCCAAAATGAAGAACTTTTACCTGAAATAAAAAGTACTATTTAAAATTGAAAATATCATCTACTAAATCCTATGATGATGTGTTAAACCCAATACACCACTCCCTTTATAACTTGTGCCCTGATAACTCACATACCCACTTATGATGCAACTTCAGGAATAGATTCCATTTTGTTAAAACCAGAAAATATCCCCCCCAACTGATCCCTATTTACTGAACTTGAAGAAAGAAAATCATGATTAAAATTGCTAACTAAAAAGTTGATATACTGCTCATTTTATGGTCGAAAACAGCAGAGGTGATCTGGAAATTTTAACAAATATTTTGAAATTACTGGCTTTTCATAAAAAGTCATACAATTGGTTGAATTTTCTTTCTAAACGACATTCTTAGTACATTCTAATTAAAATATTCAAGACAATTTCGATCAATGAAAATGTCACATCACACCTAGTGAAGGCAGTATATAAATAAAAAAATATTTAATTTAAAAAATTTTATTAAGTGAAATTTGTTTTAATTATATCCTTTAGTTCATTTTAAGTGTAATCATCATAAATGCAATTTGTATTTAAATGTAAAATGTGTCAGCCATGTCTGCAGGCATTTCTCTGAGAACCCAATTAAGTCCCAAATGTGTTTTGATAACTGACTTAAGATAGTATTGGTTGTATTGTTACACTGAATTAAAAGCTGGCCACCTTTGTAATATCACAAAAATTAACTCTTTTGAATCATATAAAGAAGGTTGAATAAAAGAAAAGTTAAAAGGTATGCAAATACATCCAACATAAATCTAGTGGCCCTGGTCATATGTCACTTTAATTGATCAAATGAACACTGCAATAAATGTTATTGTGCATGTTACATAAACTACCTTAATTTAACTGACTCATT